CCCCCGGGCGTCTTCCTTGGATCTTATGGTTTCTAATAGAGACCCAAGTTAAGATTGAGGACTGTGTCAATCCAAGAATCCAAAACAGCGAGAGGAAGTGAAATTTATTCAGTCCAGGAGTCCCTAGCCCAGTTTTGGCAGCAGCCATTGCAATTAAGTGGCCTTTGCCAAAGTATGGAGATGGCCTTTAGAACGGGTTTAGCCTGCGTGGCAGGCGTTTGAAAGGGAAGGGGAAGGGAATTAGGGCGCGAGACCAAGCGCCCCACATGCTCTCGCGCGCTCAAATTCCCTCTTCCCCTTCCCCTTTTAACGCCTGCCACGCAGGCTAGAGCGGGTTAACGGTGCCTATTAATGGAAAGTCATTTTTTCCAATATAATGACTATGTAACCAGTTACTGAAATCGAGAAGAGGAAACTGGCTGTAACCACGCATTTTTCAGAGATCAATGCGTTTCATCATGTACATGCTGACTAGTACAAGGAAGTTTAAGTAACGCGACGACAACAAAGACGGTTGTAAGAAAAACAAAAACAAATAACCCTGCACGTGCATCACCCTGTTTAATTTAGCATTTCTTTGTCGTCACTGTTTTGTTGAGGACGTGAAAAATTCACCAACATTTGACGAATTGAAGGACATGGAATAAGAGCCATAAATTTGCGCCACTGGCCGTCGTCGTGGTATTCGTTGTCGTTAGAGAAAGAGTATGCAGACTGGGTGCCATCTGTTTAAAGTGAGGGCAGTACGAAATAGACACCACCAGTTCGGTATGGTGGATTCAGTCTGTGTTCAATAGTTTTGTTTCCCTCCATAAATATATAAGTAATATAAGTTAATGTTGGTGCGTTGGCATCATGTCAGAAAACTGTGTTAATATAGTTTAGTACATTTCCTCCTAATATTTATTAACAGGTGCGGTGACACTAGCGATTTTACCCATGGGCAAATCAACTTTTTGTGTGTGACCGATTTCCCCAAGGTGAAAATTGCCTCACGAAATTTCCATGGATACGTCAAAAAGAACAAAAGAATTACCCGTGACAGTTCCCGAGGTAAGTATTATGGGTTACTAAAAACCCAGAGCGGCTCAGCCAATCACGAGAAAGTGAAATCTACAAAACAGTAGAAATCACGTGTTGTTTACGTGCTGTGCTTGTCTTGGCGCCAAATCCTACGCGAAAACTTAACTCAAAGTTCGAAAATTCGGTAGGATTTTGCGCACTACTGTGAATGTTTTTCAGGTTTTTAAATTAAGCACCTAAAAACACTCGCAAGTCTTTTTAAATCAGTGGCAAAGAATTCTTTTCTTATGAAGTCGTTGAAACCATTTTAGTAAATCCGTTCTTTTGACTTCTGGAGCGAGAATCGGCAAGAATTTTCTTTTCTTTTAAGCGCTAATGAAGTCGACGTCTTCCTTTTTAAGCCCCTTGCAAACGGACGCAACATTGTTGGCCAACAACTCCCAACATTGTTCGATGTTAAATGTTGCATCCGTTTGCACACCCTGTTGCACAAGTTGTTGGATGTTGTTGCGTGTTGTTGCGCAAAGTTTGAAACCGGTCAAACTTTTCAGCCATCAACTCCCAGCATTTATTTTGTTCCGTGATCGCTGAAGTTAGCGCAATAATGTTGGATCCGTTTGCACAGCTCTTCCAACATTGTTGGGGCCACGCACGCTCATTACGCATGGTTTACAAAGACTTATGGTTTGTATCCTTCCCACAACGCAATGCAGGTCCCAACATTGTTTGGAGTTGTTGCATCCGTTTGCACACCACTGCCAACATGTACGCAACATATCTCCCAACATTGTTGGCGCAACAATGTTGGGAGTTGTTGCGTCCGTTTGCAAGCAGCCTTAGTCTCTAAATTAAAGGCTGAATCACTCTTGCCAAACTTAATTGATGTGGCGTTTTAAAGGATAAATATGGTCGAAACCGTTTACGATTTATGTCAGCCTTCAATGCTTACAAAGACGTTTCCCGCGAAACCGGGTTCAAGTTTTTTTTTTCCCTTGGGCAATTTATCACTATGTGACCGCAAACATGAAAGTGATCAAAACCCAGAGCGACCCAACCCACGCTATTTCCCCGTGGGGAGCCTTGGGGGAGAGCTCTAGTGGGACTGCACCTAATGACGGTTTATAATTATAATGTACTTGAATGTTCTATAAGCTAGACGTGCCTTTCGAAGTAGCCTGCGAACAGCGGACGTATTTCCGGTCGTTGCTTCTCGGCTTTTTCTCGGCGGGTGAAACTGGAGCCGAAGAAAACCGGACGCTCTCGCAGGCTACTTTCGAAGTCGCTGCACTTTTTGATCTGCATTACCAAATATCTCAAAAAAAGAGATAAATAAACCCTGCACGTGCATCACCCTGTTTAATTTAGCATTTCTTTGTCGTCACTGTTTTGTTGAGGACGTGAAAAATTCACCAACATTTGACGAATTGAACGACATGGAATAGGAGCCATAAATTTTCGCCACTGGCCGTCGTCGTGGTGTTCGTTGTCGTTAGAGAAGGAGTATGCAAACTAGGTGCTATCTGTTTAAAGTGAGGGCTGTACGAAATAGACACCACCAGTTCGGTATGGTGGATTCAGTCTGTGTACAATAGTTTTGTTTCCCTCCATAAATATATAAGTAATATAAGTTAATGTTGGTGCGTTGGCATCATTTCAGAAAACTGTGTTAATATAGCTTAGTACATTTCCTCCTAATATTTATTAACAGGTGCGGTGACACTAGCGATTTTACCAATGGGCAAATCAACTTTTTGTGTGTGACCGATTTCGCCAAGGTGAAAATTGCCTCAGGAAATTTCCATGGATACGCCAAAAAGAACAAAAGAATTACCCATGACAGTTCCCGAGGTAAGTACTATGGTTTACTAAAAACCCAAAGCGGCTAAGCCAATCACGAGAAAGTGAAATGTACAAAACAGTAGAAATCACGTGTTGTTTACGTGCTGTACTTGTCTTGGCGCCAAATCCTACGCGAATACTAAACTCAAAGTTCGAAAATTCAGTAGGATTTTGCGCACTGCTGTGAGTGTTTTTCAGGTTCTTACGTTCAAAAAATTGTCAAAATTAAGCACCTAAAAACACTCGTAAGTTTTTTTAAATCAGTGGCAAAGAATTCTTTTCTTATGAAGTCGTTGAAACCATTTTAGTAAATCCGTTCTTTTGACTTCTGGAGCGAGAATGGGCTATAATTTCCTTTTCTTTTAAGCGCTAATAAAGTCGACGTCTTCCTTTTCAAGCCCTGTGCAAACGGACACAACATTGTTGGCCAAAAACTCCCAACATTGTTGGATGTTACATGTTGCATCCGTTTGCACACCCTGTTGCACAAGTTGTTGGATGTTGTTGCGTGTTGTTGCGCAAAGTTTGAAACCAGTCAAACTTTTCAGCCAACAACTCCCAGCATTTCTTTTGTTCCGTGATCGCTGAAGCGTAGCGCAACAATGTTGGATCCGTTTGCACAGCTCTTCCAACATTGTTGAGGCCACAAACGCTCATTACGCATGGTTTGCAAAGACTTATGGGTTGTATCCACCCCATGATGCACTAGTAGGTCCCAACATTGTTGGGAGTTGTTGCATCCGTTTGCACACCACTGCCAACACGTACGCAACAACTCCCAACATTGTTACGCCAACAGTGTTGGGAGTTGTTGCGTCCGTTTGCAAGCAGCCTTAGTCTCCAAATTAAAGGCTGAATCACTCTTGCCAAACTTAATTGATCTGGCGTTTTAAAGGATAAATATGGTCGAAACCGTTTACGATTTATGTCAGCCTTCAATGCTTACAAAGATGTTTCCCGCGAAACCGGGTTCAAGTTTTTTTTTCCCTTGGGCAATTCATCGCTATGTGACCGCAAACATGAAAGTGATCAAAACCCAGAGCGACCCAACCCACGCTATTTCCCCGTGGGGAGCCTTGGGGGAGAGCTCTTGTGGGACTGCACCTAATGACGGTTTATAATTATAATGGTACTTGAATGTTCTATAAGCAAGACGTGCCTTTCGAAGTAGCCTGCGAACCGCAGACGTATTTCCGGTCGTTGCTTCTCGGGTTTTTCTCGGCGGGTGAAACTGGAGCCGAAGAAAACCGGACGCTCTCGCAGGCTACTTTCGAAGTCGCTGCACTTTTTGATCTGCATTACCAAATATCTCAAAAAAAGAGATAAATAAAAGCAATGAATAATTACTTTTCTTGCGACTCTTTGCGGGGCGCTGCTAATCACTGAATCTAAATCAATATTAAATTAATCCGAATCGATTAAAATCATGCAAATCATTTATTCCCCTGTCGATTTTTATTCACATGTCTCGACTCTCGACCTTATGGAAACAAACATTGCATCATAGAACTTTTTTATTTTTTTTTTGTTGTTGAACAAAGTGCAATGGTTGTAATTTTTCTGTCTGTAGATAAATTTAGAACATTCAGGTTTCTGATCATGAGCCTGTTACCAGCTGTCGGTACATACCCTGTAGTCGAGCCATTTTATCAGAAAATGAAAATCATAGTGGGTGGTTTTTTAGAACCGCTGGAATACAAGATGGAAATTAGTTTTATCATATGAGCTGATAAGATAAACTTGCCACGCAACGAGATTTCCAAAGTTAGCCGACTTCTAGCTTGGACAAGTTTAATCATTAAACAAACTTTTGCCGCTTGCGCCTTTCCTTGACAGAATCTAGCGGCGAGCCGAGATGATATTTTAAAAGCCATTTCTTTCCGGGGTTCGCTTTACTTCAAGAGGCCACGTTCATTATTGGCGGAATTAAAAGTATTTTTGAACACGGATTTATTGTTTGGCGTTTCCACTTGTTGTCGTCGCGTGACCTCAGAGTATTCTGCAACGTCATCACTTCTAATTAGAAAGCAGCTGAAGGCTGCAGATATTGGCCGGCTTGACCAGTGTGAAAGAAAAGAAGGGAAACTAGATTTTTTAATACAGTTGCGGATCACTCAAGTCACATCAAGAGCTTAGCCATGCCAGCCAGATGTCAGATTTTGCTTGTACTGTTTCTATACTGCATCAGTGTTTTTCCCAAAGGTAAGATAGCTTTGTTTTGCTTGTAAAAATAGTGGACGGATATTTTTAAGATTATTAGCGAGCTAATTGCTGAATAGTCAAGATCGAGTGTTTAATCGAGGGAAGTTGAGGAAATCCTCTCGTGATAATTGTTTCTTTTTCCTTTTATCATCAACTGCATTCTCCTGAACGGTTCATTTTTGGATGAAACAATAGTTGTGTTTAACTAATACATAAACAAGAATATAAGAAACTGTCGTAACATTGAAACGACTTTTTGATGTACATGTCGTCACGACACTTTTACGAGGGCAGCAGAAAAATAAAGTCAAAGAAATTGGTAAAGACTACCATGGAACTCAAATAAGAACTGAGCGTAGAAAATTAAACGTACTGCGTTTTTCCTTGACGCAACTAAATTATATAACTTGAAGATACTTCAAAAAATTTGAGACACGGTTATGGTAAAAAAATGAAGTTATTACCAAAACTAATTTGTATAGAGTACCATTCAGTTACCGTTCTCGTTACTTTCAAAAATACAGTAGCCCGGAAAAAGCTGCTTTTGTAAATTTGAAGGAACAGAAAGATTTTATTCTCGAGGCAAAAAGAGAGCACGGAAAATCATGTGCTCGTAAGCAGGATGAGTATGAACATGCCCGCGAATGATCCTGTAGAAAAATGAAAAATATGTGAAATCTAGTTAGTGGAGAGTGTTATGGAGCAGCTTTTTAAAAATGGACATGACAAACGGCAACGAAGTCGAATGTTCTTGGTTCGAAGTTCCATGTCCAGGAATTAACAGCACAATAACAGGTCATGATATGAGAATTTTGAAATCCGCACTGAGACACAGCATGGAATATTTTGAAATAAGCATTTTCAATACGTGGTACCAGTTGGAGGTCTTCAGTTGATTAAATGAACTTTGACCGTGAGTCAACAAAACCCAACTGGGGGAATTTCTAAAAATATTTGTCCCTGTAAGCATCTTTCAATTTTTGTTTATCAACAAACGAGTTTCGACTTAGCTCAAGGTTAATCTTTACTCGGCAAGGAGTCGTGCATGTGTTATTTGTGCTCTAACATAACATTTCCTTCACGTAATAAGTCTTTAAATCGTAATCATTTTTTTTTTGCAGAATTAGCAAATTCCAATCAACTATCATTTGTTTTTTTGCGTAATATCGTTTTTTTTTAATTGGGGGATATTCCCTCAGCGGACATGTAATGGCACGCGAAAACAGACACGCGTCGTTGAAAAGATACATTGTATTCTTTGTTGGTTAAGTGTTCATAATCACGAAAAGAAAAATAGCAGTCTTATGGAGTGTAACGCGTATTTGCTCCGCGCTCCGCTCGCTTAATATATTAACTTAAACTCAATTTTTTGATTGAAAGCCTCAGAATTTAGGTAAGACTTTGAAATAAATTGCTTTTAGCTGCAACTTTAAATAGACCATTACCGTATAATCCTCATCTTGAAATTATCCGGAAATACTGCAATTTTATTTTAAGACGTTTAATCTTGAGAATAAATTGCTCGCGAAACATCTCAAGTACGTGCGGTTATGAGATTTGTTGTTGGTATGGTTGGCTAAACCATTGTCTTCTTGGAACTTAATAACCTACTCCTTGAGATATCAAACACTTATACCAAGCCCTCTGAAAAAAGATAGCGGAGAGTGGTTAAAGTTTTATCTTTCATAATTAAGATAGTGCGGTTAAAGCTCCTACCCCTCCCCTAAGCCAACATTTTGCCCTAAGTGAGAAGTAAGTGATATTGTTGGCTTAGGGGAGGGGTAGGTGGGCAGTTTCCCAGAAATGTACGTATAATGATCGTTTTTTCTACAATGGCCTCACTCATAAATTTGCCCTCGAGTAGCTCGGTTCGCTCGCCCAAATGGAGAGCTTTCTCGCAGGCTAAGAAATCACAAGAGACTCGGCTGTGTTGCTCAGGCACACGTATGACTCCCCTCTCTTTCTCTCAGTGTTGAGGGGTAAGGAGGCAAAAAATCAGTATGCGCCCCCGGCATCAATTATGACCGGGAACTGCGTCTATTGAAGGTAGAAAGTCCTGCAGAGAAGCGAAACATAGAAAAGAATTGATCATGCGCGTTATCGACTCGAATAGACACAAATCTGATTTCTTCTTTTTTATATTCCAGTTCAATCTAGCACTCACTGCTCAGATTCAGGTAACCCGTCAAACGGACGACGAAGCCCGCCTTCAAATGAAAGTAATGAATATCCACAAGGCAGCGTGATACAGTACAATTGTATCCGCGGCTTTGTCCTGCACGGACAAACGAGACGTACGTGTTTAGAGAACGGGCAGTGGAGTGAAGCGCCTCCGAAATGTCTCGGTAACTACTGTTTCATCTTACAAGGAAAGGATCAAGCGTTAAACAGTCTAAATTCGAACTATGTTAGCCATCAAAGCTGACTCCCTTTCCGTCCCTTAGGCTCGATTACCAGCTTTGATGCGCCCGCGTTTCTTCCCTGTCTGGTTGGGGTGGGAGGGGTGGGAGGGGTGGAGGCGGGGGTCAAAAACCGGACTTCTCAAACGGCTGGAAATACGGCGAGCGTAGACCCTCTCATACCATTTCAGTTTTCTTATAGGGTGTTGTAGGTCCAGTTTGCTTTAATGCAAGACCTATATATATGTAACTCACGATCAGCACTAAAATCCGAAGTATATATGCATAAAAAACAGAAAAAAATAGGGTAAATCGTCGCTGTATGTCGTGCAGACGATAATGCAAGGGACGAAGCTATCGCTAAGGATCCCAGGAAAGGAACAACCAGGCAGTAGCTAAGCTCACTTTCATTGAAATAAGGCAAATGTCAAGACGAAACCACAAAAAAGTGACTTTAACTCGCGGCAAAACCAAAACCTTCAATCCCGTTATTTGGCCGCAGTCCGCTAGCGCTGTTCAGTATGGTTTGGTTCCTCGCCTCTGAAGTTTCAACCTGAGCTTTCGATTCTTTGTTGAGAACAGTCAGGAGCCCAAGGCCATCTCAGTTCAGAAAGAACTAAAATTAATGTGTTTCATTACTGTCAGCTCTTCCAAAATTTCTCAAGACACCAAGCAATACTACTGTTAAAGAATCACAAGATGTTGTCCTTTCCTGTTCAACTTCGTCCCCGGATACACAGATCACGTGGTTTAAGGATGGGGAAGAAGTCACCGGAGACAGAATTGCTTTCTTCAAAGGACGTTTATTGATTGTATCGGTAGAACTTGGTGACAGAGGGTTGTATGTATGCAGGGCAACCAACGACGCAGGATTCCAAGTGGCACAGGCTTACCTGCGGGTATTAAGAGGGCTTGACGAAGGTTGGTATCACCAAACCTTTTCTTCTCGCCAGAGGCGCCGTCTCGTAAACAAATAAATTATAACTTTTTTAGCGTCCAAGGATCGATCCCCCCTATTCTCTTAAAGTTTACAGTTGGACAAAACGTGAGGGGAATATTTGTTTAGCGGGGGCAGCACTCGAGTACGCGAAAACATGTCGCGGCTTCTAACGTACCCGGAAGAACCTTGTAATGTAGAATGTATTGATCTGCTCATTTATCTGTGGTAAGAATAATCATCTTCAGGTACCGTTTGGTTTTTTCAGTTTTTTTTATTAGTTTTTAAAGAACACCACGCGAGGGGAACACGCGAATTGGAAAGGAAGCCTCCTCTCCCGGGTCTTTCATGTGCGCACGTTTCCTCGATATCGTTGTTTCCTTTTCGCTCTGAAAAGGAGAGCCTGCTACGCGGTTTAACCATCATCTTAAGCTCGTCATAACCGCTCAGTATTTTCGGCGAAATTTTTACACCATAAGCTGACAGCATCGACTAAATTAAACTCCACCAATCACAAACCCATTCGCAAATTTTACCTATTTTTTGTTAGTTTGTGGCCGACCCATTATCCCACCTCATGGTCGAGGCAAGATCGTCGGTGGAAAGAAGGTTTTGGCGGGTTCAAATCCATGGCAAGTTAGTCTATGGCGCATGCGTGAGAAACGACATTTCTGCGGTGGATCTCTTGTGTCAGATAGATGGGTGGTGACCGCTGCTCATTGTGTGGCTAGAGGTAAGAATTTGGAAAAGAAAATATCATAAATGTACAGCAGCTTGTTTAGCGATCACTTTCCTCCTGAGCGCATGACGAGTGTGAAGCGCGCCACGTATTTTCTCACGTCTTTTACGCCTTAAGCTGGAAAGGAAGTAAATTAAGGACCTTATATCAACATTCGTATTATTTATGCTGTTCTTCATACATATCGTATCGTAATCACTACTTGGTTATATTGAAATAGAAGTTGGATAATAAGGACAAATTAGCTTTTGGTCCACTAACATGGCTTAAACGCAGACTTCGATGATTGCCAAACGTTGGACAGGTTGTCACAGGGCTAAAAGTGTAGATCTTAAAGTCATTGGGTTGCCTGTGGACCAATCTAGAATTATTCTGTCCCTTTTTCAAGTGTCAAAAACTGGAGACTGTTGCGCAATTATCACACTCATGTCCAATAATCACCAAGAAGACTTTGTTATTATTCTCTACCGTGGCACTTGCCCCCACATTTCTTCCCTTATCTTGAAAAGATGTCACCCACATGACAGCATTTAATGAACCGACAGTGTGTGTGTTTGCATCGCACGTGCGACCTAAGAGAGCGCGAGGGATGATGGGAAGAGTGAGAGTCTCCCCTCTTTCTTCCCTCGCCCTTCCCTTAAGCTCGCTTCCGACTCTCTCTGAGAGACGACGAGGGACAAGTCAGATATCTAATCAACTAATGCCGTTCAACAGGTATTACAGTCAACGATTTCGAGGTACGGCTTGGGAAAGTGTTTACCCACAAGCGAGAACGTCGTAGGGAACAAATCATACGCCCGGACAGAATTATCATTCATAGCAAGTTTATAGCCGCAGACTATGATTCGGATATCGCACTTATCCATCTTAGCAGGAAGGTTGTTTACACTGATTATGTCAAACCGATCTGCCTTCCATTGAAAATACGGGACTCTGATAGGATTCTACTGAAGCCAGGGAACATTGGGGTGATCACAGGTAGGTGCATATTAGGCTCCACATTATGCTCCGACTAGGACCTTAAATAAGGTTCCAATTACAGCCCCAAATGCTCCTTCAATCAATAGTTTAACTCTTATTCGTTCTTCTGGACTTCAGTATTTTTATAAAAAAACAACATTTACCTGCAACTAATACGTACTATAATCCGTAACATAGGTTGGGGCGGAAAAGGACACGGAAGACGACTCGTTAAACGCATGCGCAAAGCAATCGCGCCAGTTGTAAAGCAAACCACGTGTAAAAAGTCACACAGATACAAAGTCACAAGAAACATGTTTTGCGCTGGACATTTCAATGGGACACTTGGTGACTCCTGTACTGGAGACTCTGGAGGTCCGCTAACCATCGAAAACCGCGGGCGCTGGGTGCTGGCGGGAATCATTTCCTGGGGAGATGGCTGCGGAGGGATCGGAAAGTATAGTGTTTACACTCGAGTGTCGATATATTCTCGCTGGATTAGGAGACATATTAATGGGGAGGATTAAACAAGAGAGAGAGAGAGATTTTATAGGGAAGGGACACACCTTATTCGAAGCTTTTAAACAGTTGTGCTGGCTGATCAAGTGATGCGCTATCCGGCGATGTTCCCGTCCGTGAAGAACTTTCTGTAAAGGTGTGGTGTACAAAAACTGACGGACCATCGCAGTATAAAACAGTCTAAGTTATGAAGATATTGTATAAAGCAGCAATAGTTTTGGTAGAGTGTATTTATTCCCTCTGAACGCTTTAGATCGTCAAGGAATTCCAGTATCATGATACGCCTTATCGTTAGGGCCCGTGTGTCCCTTTAGAAATCCAGACGTAGTTAATCGTTAAAAATCGATATCGGAAATCAATCGATATCATCGATATTAATCGATATAATCCTCTGATTATTATCGATTGATATCGGAAATCGATAGAAATCGAAGTCACAGTAAAAAAAAATTTATTGATTATTATCGACTAACAAAATCGATAACAATCGATAGGAGTCGATAAAGAATCATTATCGATTTCTATCGGAAAATCATCAATATTAATCGAAATCACAACTTTTTCCTTTATCGAATTCTATAGATCAACATTTCGGAAATCGACCCTCATCGATGATTGATATCGATTACTTTCGATTAATATCGATTATTGGTTTATCGATTAACTACGTTTGGAGAAATGAACCAGAAGGGAGATAGCTCTTTTCTTCAGCGAGATTTAAAAATACTAGTATTTACGAAGGTTGACAACATAGAAATTATGTTGCAATATTTACACGAAACTGCTCATATGGAAAATTTATTTGCAAAAAAAACTAGAAAACGCATTCAAAAAACAAATATTTAGTGAACTGCCAAATGATACTTTGTTCATACTTTGTGTTATTTTAACCATACCGAGCGAAATTAGCGAGCGCGCGAGGAGAAGAGACGCGTTTCACCTTCCTCGCGGGTGGCCACCAAAGACGGATGCCTTTTTCAGGCTTTAATTAAATTAAGGGGTAGGGAAATCTGTCATTTATGGGCGGAGCCTCCCCTTTAACATTTGGGGTACCACCCCCCCTCCCCGGTCAAAGATGCATTCTGAGTAACGCTTGAAACATTTTGCGTCATGTAATTTAAAAGTCTTGACAGAAAGAAGAGCATAATTATTGTAAGTTGTGTAGCAATATAAGGGTTAAGTTAAAACTCTGAAGAGACGTTTAACACGTAGGAAGAAAGTTTATTCCAAAATTTAATGTTTAATGCAGTAAATTATTACCATCAATAAAAAGGAAACACGTTGAAAATATCTGAAGGGTTTTTTGCTTAGTCGATGCATTAATAGTCTGCTTCACAACCGTTTTTGTCACGCAACCTTCCTCACCACAAAAGAGGAGGAACCTTGAGGTGAGGAACACTGCATAACAGCACAAAAGGGGAACGTTGCGTGACGACACAAAGGGGGAGAGACGTTGCGTGATAACACAAAGAGACTAATACATTAATGCCAAATTACGTTTTTACCGCGGTTTACCGTTTATGTTCAATTCAGTGGAATTTCAACAACTATTTTAGTCCAAACATAATTAGCTTCTTTTCTAACAAATTATGCAAATTTCTCTTGATTGACAGCAGTGAATACATCACGCTGGTGAGGATCGTAAGTACTTGAAAAAAGGGTGGGTTTATATTTGTGCCCAGCAAGTACCATACTAGAGCACTGTGCCAGGGAACCATGTCTGAACAATGCCTTACCGTAAATCCTCCATTAAGCCCACTTGGGTGGGGAAGGGCTTAATAGAAAAGACGATGGTATCAGTTTTCCCTAAAGACCTAGAAATCAAAGTGGATTAGCTCAAGTACAAGAAGGTTGAAGGTCATGCAGCCGATGATAAAAAACAAATCAAAACTTCCAGTTGGTAAATTAACTATGCCAGATCATATTAAATTCTGCAAGCAGAATACTGCAATGCTGATCGTACTACGTGAAAATTAACTCTGCAAGACATCAACACGACACCGAAATAACTCAAAACAGAGCAGGATTGTAGCCATAGACAGCTGTTTCGCCCGCTTTGGGGCTTGTCAGTATGGCGTAACAACCAGAGAAAACTCTGGTGAAAAATACCTGCGCACTCTGATTTAAGCCTTGACCTAGAACTCTCAACACCCACAGAATCATGCCATACCACGTGTCTTCTGGGGGCAAGAGTCCAAATGTCAAATTGATGTCTCGCAGAGAAACTAAAAAAAAAATTGGCCAAAACCAACTGCCAGATCAGTCCAGTCGTGATTGATTAATACAGTCTATCATTTATTTCTGAAGAATAACTAAGGGAGGGGGGAAGCTTAAGAGATTGGAGGAGGGGGGATTATTAACTTTCTTCCCCTGAATGAAAATTTAACAACAAGTTTAAAAAAAACACACGTCCTGCACATCAGTCTAAGGCAAAGCTCTGCAGAGTGAGGCTCTTTACCCATTCTGCCTCAATATCCACAAACAAATTCTCCACAATGATCTCTATATACATTTCCTGAAATAACAAGTTGAGAGAATCTGATAAAAGATCAAAGTATGTCCCTCTTCATGATCATTTTATCACTTCTCATAACCTTCTCTCTTGATGATGTGAGGATATTGTTAGGAGAAAATTCATGTTGGTCACCCTTAGGACTTACAACAATCAATTCATTTTAACCGGGTCAAAACAATGTCAATGTTCTCAAAATAAGAGTATAAACATAAATGTCTTTGATTGTGAAAACTTTATTAATAATAATATACTAAGTTACAAATAATTTTTCTTTCACTATGAAATTGTCCCCTTTCCATTTTACAAAATTTGTAAGATTATCATAGTATACTTCGCCTTGGCGGGTGAGCAGTGAAAAATGAAGGCGCCGTCTCGTAAACAAATAAATTATAACTTTTTTAGCGTCCAAGGATCGATCCCCCCTATTCTCTTAAAGTTTACAGTTGGACAAAACGTGAGGGGAATATTTGTTTAGCGGGGGCAGCACTCGAGTAACATTCCATATCATCGCGAAAACATGTCGCGGCTTCTAACGTACCCGGAAGAACCTTGTAATGTAGAATGTATTGATCTGCTCATTTATCTGTGGTAAGAATAATCATCTTCAGGTACCGTTTGGTTTTATTAGTTTTTTTTATTAGTTTTTAAAGAACACCACGCGAGGGGAACACGCGAATTGGAGAGGAAGCCTCCTCTCCCGGGTCTTTCATGTGCGCGCGTTTCCTCGATATCGTTGTTTCCTTTTCGCTCTGAAAAGGAGAGCCTGCTACGCGGTTTAACCATCATCTTAAGCTCGTCATAACCGCTCAGTATTTTCGGCGAAATTTTTACACCATAAGCTGAAAGCATCGACTAAATTAAACTCCACCAATCACAAACTCATTCGCAAATTTTACCTATTTTTTGTTAGTTTGTGGCCGACCCATTATCCCACCTCATGGTCGAGGCAAGATCGTTGGTGGAAAGAAGGTTTTGGCGGGTTCAAATCCATGGCAAGTTAGTCTATGGCACATGCGTGAGAAACGGCATTTCTGCGGTGGATCTCTTGTGTCAGATAGATGGGTGGTGACCGCTGCTCATTGTGTGGCTAGAGGTAAGAATCTGGAAAAGAAAATATCATAAATGTACTGTAGCTTGTTTAGCGATCGCTTTCCTCCCGAGCGCATTATGCGTGTGAAGCGCGCCACGTATTTTCTCACGTCTTTTACGCCTTAAGCTGGAAAGGAAGTAAATCATGATCAAGGACCTTATATCAACATTCGTATTATTTATTCTGTTCTTCATACATATCGTATCGTAATCACTACTTGGTTATATTGAAATAGAAGTTGGATAATAAGGACAAATTAGGTTTTGGTCCACTAACATGGCTTAAACGCAAAAGAGCGCAGACTTCGATGATTGTCAAACGTTGGACAAGTTGTCACAGAGCTAAAAGTGTAGATCTTAAAGTCATTATTCTGTCCCTTTTTCAAGGGTAAAAAACTGGAGAGTGTTGCGCAATTATCACACTCATGTCCAATAATCACCAAGAAGACTTAGTTATTATTCTCTACCGCGCCACTTGCCCCCACATTTTTTCCCTTATCTTCGTGTTGACTTTGAAACGACGTCACCCACATGAAAGCATTTAATGAATCGAGAGTGTGTGTGTTTGGATCGCACGTGCGACCTAAGAGAGGACAAAGGGTGATGGGAAGAGTGAAAGTCTCCCCTCTTTCCTCCTTAGCCCTTCCCTTAACCGCGCTTCCGACTCTCTCTGAGAGACGACTAGGGACAAGTCAGATATCTAATCAACTAATGCCGTTCAACAGGTATTACAGTCAACGATTTCGAGGTACGACTTGGGAAAGTGTTTACCCACAAGCGAGAACGGCGTAGGGAACAAATCATACGCCCGGACAGAATTATCATTCATAGCAAGTTTATCGCCGCAGACTATGATTCGGATATCGCACTTATCCATCTTAGCAGGAAGGTTGTTTACACTGATTACGTCAAACCAATCTGCCTTCCATTGAAAATACGAGACTCTGATAGGATTCTACTGAAGCCAGGGAACATTGGGGTGATCACAGGTAGGTGCATATTAGGCTCAACATTATGCTCCGACTAGGACCTTAAATAAGGTTCCAATTAGAGCCCCAAATGCTCCTTCAATAGTTTAACTCTTATTCGCTCTTCTAGACTTCAGTATTTTTACAAAAAAAAAAAACATTTACCTGCGACTAATACGTACTATAATCCGTAACATAGGTTGGGGCGGAAAAGGACACGGAAGACGACTCGTTAAACGCATGCTCAAAGCAATCGCGCCAGTTGTGAAGCAAACCACGTGCAAAAAGTCACATAGACACAAAGTCACAAGGAACATGTTTTGCGCCGGACATTTCAATGGGAAACTTGGTGACTCCTGCACTGGAGACTCTGGAGGTCCGCTAACCATCGAAAACCGCGGGCGCTGGGTGCTGGCGGGAATCATTTCGTGGGGAGATGCAGATGGCTGCGGAGGGATTGGAAAGTATAGTGTTTACACTCGTGTGTCGATATATTCTCGCTGGATTAGGAGACATATTAATGGAGAAGATTAAACAAGAAAGAGAGATTTTAAAAGGAAGGGACACGCCTTACTCGAAGCTTTTAAACAGTTGTGCTGGCTGATCAAGTGATGCGCTATCCGGCGATGTTCCCGTCCGTCAAGAACTTTCCGTAAAGGTGTGGTGTACAAAAACTGACGGACCATCGCAGTATAAAACAGTCTAAGTTATGAAGATATTGTATAAAGCAGCAATAGTTTTGATAGAGTGTATTTATTCCCTCTGAACGATTTAGAGATCGTCAAGGAATGCCATTATCATGATACGCCTTCTCGTTAGGGCCCGTGTGTCCCTTAAGAAATCCATACGTAGTTAATCGATAAAACCGATATCGGAAATCAATCGATATCATCGATATTAATTGATATAATCCTCTGATTATTATTGATTGATATCGGAAATCGATAGAAATCGAAGTCACAGAAAAAACAACTTATTGATTATTATCGATTAACAAAATCGATAACAATCGATAGGAATCGATAAAGAATCGTTATCGATTTCTATCGGAAAATCATCAATATTAATCGAAATCACAACTTTTTCCTTTATCGAATTCTATCGATCAGCATTTCGGAAATCGACCCTCATCGATGATTGATATCGATTACTATCGATTAATATCGATTATTGGTTTATCGATTAACTACGTTTGGAGAAATGAACCAGAAGGGAGATAGCTCTTTTCTTCAGCGAGATTTAAAAATAATAGTATTTACGAAGGTTGACAACATAGAAATTATGTTGCAATATTTACACGAAACTGCTCATATGGAAAATTTATTATAAAAAAAAACTAGAAAACGCATTCAAAAAACAAATATTTAGTGAACTGCCAAATGATACTTTGTTCATACTTTGTGTTATTTTAACCATACCGAGCGAAATTAGCGAGCGCGCGAGGAGGAGAGACGCGTTTCACCTTCCTGGCGGGTGGCCACCAAAGGCGGATACCTTTTTCAGGCTTTAAGTAAATTAAGGGGTAGGGAAATCTGTCATTTATGGGCGGAGCCTCCCCTTTAAAATTTGGGGTACCACCCCCCTCCCCCGGTCAAAGATGCATTCTGAGTAACGCTTGAAACATTTTGCGTCATGTAATTTAAAAGTATTGACAGAAAGAAGAGCATATTGTTAGTTGTGTAACATGAAAATTACATGACTGGTCCTAGGCAATATAAGGGTTAAGTTAAAACTCTGAAGAGACGTTTAACACGTAGGAAGAAAGTTTATTTCAAAATTTAATGTTTAATGCAGTAAATTATTACCATCAATAAAAAGGAAACACGTTGAAAATATCTGGAGGGCTTTTTGCTTAGTCGATGCATTAATAGTCTGCTTCACAGCCGTTTTTGTCACGCAACGTTCCTCACCACAAAAGAGGAGGAACCTTGAGGTGAGGAACGCTGCGTGACAGCACAAAAGGGGAACGTTGCGTGACGACACAAAGGGGGAGAAACGTTGCGTGACAACACAAAGAGACTAATACATTAATGCCATATTACGCTTTTACCGCGGTTTACCGTTTATGTTCAATTCAGTGGAATTTCAACAACTATTTTAGTCCACACATAATTAGCTTCTTTTCTAACAAATTATGCAAATTTCTCTTGATTGACAGCAGTGAATACATCACGCTGGTGAGGATCGTACGTACTTGAAAAAAGGGTGGGTTTATATTTGTGCCCAGCAAGTACCATACTACGGCACCGTGCCAGGGAACCATGTCTGAACAATGCCTTACCGTAAATCCTCCATCAAGCCCAGGTGGGGAAGGGCTTCATAGAAAGGGGGGGGGGGGGGCTTGTTACTTAATTTAAAAAAGACGATGGTGTCAGTTTTCCCTAAAGACCTAGAAATCAAAGTGGATAAGCTCAAGTACAAGAAGGTTGGAGGTCATGCAGCCGATGATAAAAAACAAATCCAAACTTCCAGTTGGTAAATTAACTATGCAAGATCATATTAAATTCTGTAAGCAGAATACTGCAATGCTGATCGTACTACGTGAAAATTAACTCTGCAAGACATCAACACGACACTGAAAGAACTCAAAACAGAGCAGGATTGTAGCCATAGACAGCTGTTTTGCCCGCTTTGGGGCTTGTCAGTATGGCGTAACAACCAGAGAAAACTCTGGTGAAAAATATCTACGCACTCTGATTTAAGCCTTGACCTAGAACTCTCAACACCCACAGAACCACGCCATACTACGTGTCTTCTGGGGGCAAGAGTCCAAGTGTCAAATTGATGTCTCGCAGAGAAAATAAAAAATTGGCCAAAACCAACTGCCAGATCAGTCCAGTCGTGATTGCTTAATACAGTCTATCATTTATTTCTGAAGAATAACTAAGGGAGGGGAAGCTTAAGAGATTGGAGGAGGGGGATTATTAACTTTCTTCCCCTGATGAAAATTTAAAAACAAGTAAAAAAAAACACACGTCCTGCACATCAGTCTAAGGCAAAGCTCTGCAGAGTGAGGCTCTTTACCCTTTCTGCCTCAATATCCACAAACAAATTCTCCACAATGATCTCTATACATTTCCTGAAATAACAGGTTGAGGGAATCTGATAAAAGATCAAAGAATCTCCCTCTTCATGATCATTTTGTCACTTCTCATAACCTTCTCTCTTGATGATGTGAGGATATTGTTAGGAGAAAATTCATGTTGGTCACCCTTAGGACTTACAACAATCAATTCATTTTAACTGGGTCAAAACAATGTCAATGTTCTCAAAATGAGAATATAAACGTAAATGGCTTTGATTGTGAAAACTTTATTAATAATATACTACGTTACAAATAATTTTTCTTTCACTATGAAATTGTCCCCTTTCCATTTTACAAAATTTGTAAGATTATCATAGTATACTTCGCCTTGGCGGGTGAGCAGTGAAAAATGGAAAAAACCTTGTAGAATTCTTACTAGAAAAGATCAGCTACAAAATTCCTTGGTACAATTGCAGGTCCCATAATAGTCCAATAATGCTTCAATCGTGTCTGACCTCGGTGCACTGGTGGCTCATGACGCAGCCTTCTCCTCTTGGATGTCTGGTTAAAAGCCACAGAAGACTGTTATTATTTAACATTACATTGACTGCATTACAGGTTAAAAGTCCATGCATTAATGAAGGGTAAATGTCTTAAACGAGAGTTTTAAGCAAGCTTACGGTTTTTAACTTATCTCAGATAGATAACGATATTTAAAAAAATTCAAAAAATTCTTCAAAATTCTTCTCATCAAAACCCAGTGTTAAAGAAAATCAACTGTGGCTTCAACTAAAATAGCATTTTTGGAGTTGTCCCTGTTCTTCGTTCTTTGCAATTCTTTAATTGCTGAAAACCTGATTAAGCACAATGTTACAGCAGTCGACAATAAAACACTATTCTAACTAATAGTGGAGTGCACAATTATGCATTGATTTATCCACTAAAGTTGGAATTTACTGTGCAGCTATTGCAGTGCTTTAATCTTTAAATAAGAAGCTGACTGCTTGCCAGGGTAAAGAGGAACACCAGAAAAAATTTCTAGCATTATGTAAACTGTGATTCTCAAGGCCCATGTGTTTGATATTTCCATTCAATCATAGCTTTTTTGGTGACTGACACAAGAGAGGCACAGACATTTCTCAGCTCACAAAGCAAGAAAATTTTATTCAACTATAGTGAGGTTAATACATTGGTGCTAATTGTAACAAAAGTGTTGGACATATCTGCCCTTTATAGAAATTTACTGTTATCAAAAAATATAATCATTTTAACATATAACATCTGAATAATATAAACCATTTGGCAAAGATAAATCTGGTAGAAAATAGTTCAAACTCTTAGAAATAAGTTAACAACTCTCAAAATACTNATCAATCAAATTCCTCTTATAATTTTCACTGCCTGATCAAACATAAAACGAAGTGATAACCACGTAAAAAGATTAAATGACAAACAAATTCTTCGCATCAAAACCCAATGTTAAAGAAAATCAACTGTGGCTTGAACTAAAAGAGTTGTCCCTGTTCTTCGTTCTTTGCAATTCTTTAATTGCTGAAAACCTGATTACGCACGATTTTACACTTTTCTAACTAATAATGAAGTGCACAATTATGCATTGATTTATCCACTAAAGTTGGAATTTACTGTGCAGCTACTGCAGTGCTTCAATCTTTGAACAAGAAGCTGACTGCTTGACAGGGTGAAGAAGAACACCAGAAAAAATTTCCAGCATTATGTAAACCGTAAATCTCAAGGCCCAGGTGTTTGATATTTCCATTCAAACATAGCCTTTTTGGTGACTGACACAAGCGAGGCACAGACATTTCTCAGCTCACAACGCAAGAAAAATTTATTCAACTATAGTGAGCTTAATACATTGGTACTAATTGTTACACATGTCCTGGACATAACTGCCCTATATAGAAATTTACTGTTATCAAAAAACATAATCATTTTAATATACAACATCTGAATAATATAAACCATTTGGCAAAGATAAATCTGGTAGAAAATAGTTCAAACTCTTAGAAATAAGTTAACAACTCTCAAAATACTGTCTTATTTTTAAATAGGTACACTTAAATCTTACATGTTAGGTTACTCTATAGTCTTTTCCATTTGCAAGAGTATAAAAAGAAGTTAGTAATTTAAACTTTTTTGTTTAACGTGTTTGTTCATGAAAAACTGAAACATCTCATTTCCACAAAGTATAGCCTTGTGTACAAGAAAAACCAAAATCGGTTATCACAAAAACAGCTTTTTAAATTTCCTTCAGCTGCTTCTCAAACGACACAAGAGGTCTTTCTCTAAAAACTCGTAAGATGCTGTCCTCTGACTTAAGCAAAATTGTTGTTACTGAAGGATGTAACTACAACTTTGTCTGTTAAGCCACTAAAATAATTGTCTCAAATGTTACTCAGTACTAACTGGCACCAGTCAATCAAAGGTGTCCTGTCGCTCAGAACAAAGCACACTTGCCTGATTGTTTAGGAAGTGGATTTTTCTCCTCTGTCTCAACGTGTTTCAGCTTTGAGTGATCAAAACTCTTTACTTCTGCCCTTGTCTCTTTAGCCTCCTCCTTGATTTCTAAAAGAATTTTTTAAAAATACAGTTAACTCTCTTGTAATGGACACCTCTATAAGATGGACACCTACAGTTAGTCCCTGCCTTTCTTTTCTCCCATTATTTGAATCTCTGTAAGATGGACACCTCAGTAAAATGGACACCTACAGTTAGTCCCTGCCTTTCTTTACTCCCTTTATTTAAATCTCTATAACATGGACACCACTGTAACATGGACACCTAGAGTTGGTTACTGCCTTTCTTTACTCCCTATGTTTGACTCTCTATAAGACGGACACCTCGGTAAAATGAACACCAACAGTTGGTCCCTGTCTTTCTTTACTCCCTTTATTTGAATCTAATCTAAATTTAATTTCTTATCAAATTCTCTCAGCTAATTCTTCAAAAAAATGTATGGAGATCATATCAGACTGGAGAATTTGCAAGTAGACATCGGGGCATAAAGGATTAATAAGGATTAATTCAATTTAAAAAGAATCACTCTTTTACTCAGATCTTGTAGAGCATCCAATCATACCTTCTTTAGTGGGAAGATGTGTTTTGTCAGCAGTTTCTACATGTTTAAGTTTTTTAGCAGGGTCAAATCCTTGAATCTCCTTTAATTCTGCTGATCTGTCTGGTAGTTCATCTGGCACCAGTTCCTCTCTCAGTGTTTGTGCTGTGGGGGTTGGGTTTTTCTCTTCTGTTTCAACATGCTTTAATTGTGATTTGTCAAATGATTTTACTTCTGCTCGGGAGTCGGCTTTTTCCTCGTCGATGACTGATAAAAAACGTACACAAAATATTAATAGTCGGCAGAAGTGAAGGAAAACTCCCACTGCACATCTGCAAACAAACAACCAACACTTCAAGATAACCACTTTTGGCTGTCTGTATGTCTGTCTAAGAAAGAAGTGTTTACTGTCAGCAATCTGTTAGTTTGTTGCTCGAAGGATGTTGCCAGAATACAGTGTTTTATGTCACTTCATTCTCATCTCCTCCAGGTATCTTTCTATTGGTTCATATAAAGGGTTATAGATTGTCATATTTTGTTATTGACTGTTAGTCATCGTATGTTGGCCAACTGTCAGCAGAGGAACGTTTACCTGAATATCTGTTTACCACTAACCTGATTTGGTTGGTAAGACTTCCTTTTCTTGAGTTTCAACATGTTTCAGTTTGGAATGATCAAACGATGAAACCTCAGAGCGATCTGGCAGTT